CATAGCAAACAATACATTCTTCTTTCATTTCAAAGACATCTTCTCTTGAGAGAAAAAAGAGAAGTCAAAGAAAAAAACGAGTCACAGAAGTTATTCACTCCAAATAGTACATAGCCTTTTCAGTAGCACCATCACCATGTGAATGTTGTGCAAGCTACATGTGCCTGCAGCCTCCAGACACAGCCATGCAAACTGGTTCCCCTGATCTGGGAAGAGTATCCCTGTGGAAACAGGTGCTGGGGTATAGTGGAACAAATACCCCGGGGAAAAGAAGCAACCGGGGTTTTATCTGCACCTTAACAACAGGGGCTTCACAAATCTAAGTTTGAGAAAGTTTCTATTGTAAAACAAATGCTCTCACGTAGCTTCTGTACTAGCACAGTACTCTAAAGTTGCTGTTATAGCAATGTTATTTATACACAGATAGAAATTGCACCTGTTTTGGGGTGTTTTAGGGATCTTTACTAAACAAGTGTAAAATCTTTCTAATTAAGACATTCTCTGTATTTTCTCATGTTCACAGTTGATACAAGATTTTTGGAGAAACCCATCAGTACGGTACCATTTCAGATTGGCTCTATACGAGGAGGCAAGATAGTTTTCTCCTGTATGTATGATCATCGTCTATATAGAACCATAAATAATTGTCTGTAATGGATAAAAAAAATCATTATATTCTATTAATGCAACAGGCTCAAATAGCTCCTAATTAATTTAGAGTAAGCAAATTCAGACAAAAATAAAAAGTACAAAGCAGCAGTTGCAGAAACATTGCTGGATACAAGTGCAAAGAATCTCTTTAAAAAAAAAAAAAAGTAAAATAGAGTCCTAAAAAAATGTGAGAGGATCCTCCATACAGCAGCAGGGAAGAGCTGCAAATCTGTATGTGAGAAAGTAAAACAAAATGGGATGGTGAGGGCAGAAACGATTATGGGAAGAGCAAAAGGACAAGAAAAATGGAAACCGACACATTAGGTGAAGGAAAACTATCTCATTAACCGCTGTCACCAACTCCAGCCTGTTCCCTTTTTGAGAGCTTTCATTCTCCAGGTGACTCTGCCCAACATTAGAACTGATGGAGCTTTTCTTTTTCCAACGGATAACGGATTAACCAAAGCCTAAAGACACTCAGCATCAGTGACCTTTTCTTAAAGCAGCCTACTATCTGAGAGCATAAACAGTATAGGTTAACATCAAATACTGTGACACCAGTGACAAAACCTGCACCTCAGCGTTTGAGCTATTCTTGACCCAATTGTGAATGGATGACAATAGTGAACTTGCCAATTACCTTGTCACATAACCTGGAAAAAGAATTCTGTTCTCCCGCAGAAACCTCTTTCCTCCTGCTTTAGTCTAAAGCTCTACATTTGATGTTGGAGAGGGACTTTTCTCTTCTTCTTGTCCAAAAGTCAGCGGGCAAACAACCAGCTTTAGAGAGTGGCTGGAGCCCCCAGATCCGTGGCTGGTCCAGGCTCACGTCGGCTGCCAGGGAAGAGGTGACAGCCCCAGAGAAAAGCACAAGTGGCACAAGGGCCAACGGAACAAACCCGAGATATAATTCTCGGTAATCAGAAGGAAAATCTGGCATTTGGTACCACGCCTGTTTTCATTAAAACAAAAGGAAGTTCTCCATCACACGATGGATGCAGTGCTTGGTGAAATAATACAGGCACTAAAGTTGTTCAGGGAGATGCAGAAAGACCAGTCATGCAATGGCTTAAAAATGTTCTTAGAACATCCAGAAAATGCCCCAAATCTTAATTAAAATAGAATTAGTGAATTAAAACAATTCCTGTGTTTCTATTGTTCAAACAATAACAATATTATGGCAGTTCATAGAAATTGCATAGCATTTAAAAGACTGCAAGAACACAGCATGGTATAAAAGCCTTTGTACTGCTTTGACTTTTATTGACCTACATGTCAGTTTACTCCTCCCCAAGCATTACAAGCCTAGGTGGAGGGGGAAGAGAGGGGAAAGAAAGGAAAAAAAGAAATATCAAAGCAAGCCCCCTAGAAACAGCTAAATCCAAGAGCTAAAGTGGAATCCATCTGTTATCCCCAAATTGATCAGCGATACAAAAGGTGATGCACTTAAGTCCCTTTCGCTGAAAATATATTCAGCTTGCAGTGCAAAGAAGCGACAACATTATTTTATTCTTATTTAAAATCCAGCAATGTACTGACATCTTGAAGCTTATACTTTAGCTCCAAGTACAGTATTAATAAATATGTTCATATTTAAATAGCACGCAATGGTTTTGTATACTATCTTTTACAGTAGCTGAAGACCTACATGCATGTAGAGATCTTGGATATGCAAATACACACACTCACACACAGAGACCTCTTCGTTAACAGCATAAGAAATTGCTCTGTAGTGCTCAGCCACAGCCATCTTTGGTGGTAGAGTAAAATATGTATTTTCTACATTCGCTATTCTTTTCATATGGAAAGCGATTTAAAAAAAGAACCGTAAATGCATATGAGTGCTTTCATGTCATCCAAACAATGAACAGATAGGTCCTCCACATCAAAACGAACTACTTGTATGTGATTAATGCTGATTATTATTTAAATTATGTGAAATACGCAGTAATTCTACTTTGCGTTTAGCAAAGCAAAATGGCCTCTTCCACCGTCTCAGACCTTCTTCACTGTAATACAAAGAAGTCCTAAAAATTGCTATTGTCATACACGACTCAGTTTTAACAGTTTTTTAAAAAGCTACATAAACAGAGAGGCTGAGTATTTCCTAAAAGACATTAGCCATTACTTTCATTAATTTCCAAAACATGCTTTCTGAAAAGCATACGCAAAGCTTAAAGATGTTGTTATAAATGTGCCGTAATTCCTTAGGAGACACTGATATCGCCTAATAAGCTCACTGCAAAGACAAAAATCAATTCTAATGCAGATAAAGGAACTAAGAATAATTTATATTCCAAAGGAAAAAAAAAATCCTCAAGAGCAGATAGATTCTTATTAAAAGTAAAATTAACAAGAGCTCATCTAGTCAGCGGCAAATGTATTTTCTTCCCTGATTTACATGTCATTCTCATGGCAGCAGCGCTCAAATGACTGTACAGGGATATTCAAAGCAGAAAGAAAAGCCCTGTAAAAGGCCGAAGTTTTTGCTATTCAGATTTTCATAATAGCTGGGATAATTTCCAGTGCTTTACATAGCAGCTGTAGTAGCACCACATACCCAACATTGTAAATAGAAAGCACTCCCGAACTTTGTGCTCCGATCTTTGCCAGAAATGGCACACAACAGAATTAAATAAATTTAAATCCTCTGAATTTTCTTACAATATTTCCGTTACTTCTACCTTCAGTTTTAAACAAAGCAATAACTGTCACGAATTATACTGCATACGCAGAATTATTCTGCGCAATTAAAATTGTTTTTTATCCCCATAATACAAATGCTTATCTCCTTTTGTACTCAGACAAATACAACATCTGGCATGTAGGTGAAAGGAAGATACAACTTTGAAGAGATGCTTGCTAAGAGCTATATAGTTGAGGTCCATCTTTCTTAGGCCAAAAAGGGAAAAAAAAAATCTAAAGATAAGAACGATCCCTTTAAGGCATTGTTCATTCTTATGATAAAATTAAGAATAAAGGGCAAGGTTTAATTCTTCCAAAGGCACCTGAATATCCCCTTCCTAAACGTTCTCACAAGTCTCTCGCATTTTCCGTGGAAAACTGTAATGGTGGAAATGGAGAAATATGTCCGTGTTCTGCAATATAGTCCCTGTCCTCCCCCAACAAGCGGTCTGTTTTCCAATAAATTGTCTTTAGGCAGATTTTGATAGAGTCTTAGTCCTCCAAGGGTAAACAAAAATTTTAAAAATAATAAATAATAAAAAAGAAATCTTCAGTTCCACCTGGCTCAGTAAAAGACGCAGGCTACCTAGTCTATAGGGAAGTAAAGGGAAAATGCCTTAATGCCAGAGTCTTGCAATCATGTAGGGAATATGATGGTGCGCGGAAAGCATTTGTTAAAGACGCCTTACCAAAATGTTCAGTTTTGGCATACAATAGTCCACCTATGATACATAATTCTAACGCTGATGAGTAAAAATTTGATGAATATTCTTTAAACAATGAAATCATCTTAAATTTTTAAGTGTTGTTATTGCAGGCCTTTTTAATATAGGCTCTTAGGAAAACACACCATGCCATCCTCACAAAATATATTGAAAAAAAAAAAAAAAAAAAAAACGCAGTGAGATTTTTTTTTTGAACCGAAAACTAATAAAGATCATTTTCCATGCTGACAGCGCACATTTCATCCAGAAGTTTGAAGAGTCAAATGCTACCCCAGCTGGGGGTTATTCTGCCAAATGGCTTCCAACAGTGACCACAGAGATGGAGGATGGGAGGGGTGCGTTTGTGCGCAGGAAAATAAACCTGATGGTGAGCAACCTCAGAGCCAATTCCTCTTATCACGTATCTGCCATACGTGAGCCAAACACACAATACAAATCTAGAATAGAGCACTGAAGCAGAAAGGCATGAAAAAAATAAAAGCAAGCAAGCCATTTGCGAGTTACCTGCAGAGATTTAAAACAAAAAAAGCATACGAATGAAGCAGATATAATTCATATGGATTTGCCCAGGAAGGAGGAAAGGAGGGGGTGAGTGCAAGGGCTGGGGGGGAGAAGAACAGATACCTTTTTTCTTAAACAAATCCATCATGAAAGAAAATGAGACAAGATTATAAATAGGCCGAGTTATAGCGCACCATGGGATTTTTAATCTGGCTACCTGTGGTTTTTGCAGTTAAAGCCCTATTCAGCAGTGGGGAGGGAAGGGGGGGAAGCGGAAAAGAAAAAAAGAAGGAAAAAAGCAAAAACAAAATCACATTTATGTGTCCCTGGCGCAAACGATCAAACAGCGAGCATTAGCAACGAGGCTGGAAAGCAGGAAACACTAATTGTCCCCATGTTTTAATAAGCACGCGCTTCCCAAACACCATCGGTTATTACCTGCGCGTCGCGTTTCCGGCATTCTTGGGTTTTCTGCTCGTGCTCCGCCATGGCAGCCCGCAGCTGCCTCTCCAGGTTCCCGATTTCCCGTTCGTGGTCGCGGACCAGGCAGTCCTTCTCGGCGTTGTGCTGCTGGAATAGGTGCGTCTTCTCCTGCTCCTGCTCCAGCTTCAGCTCCACCATCTGATTGGGCAGCGAGGAGTACAGTTCATCAATAGAACATCCTTGTCGTCATGACAACTCGTCTACAGCTTAATTTCCCCCTTAATTTCATCAAGTTGGCAATGCTCTTTTTACGTCACTCTTACCTCACCTCTCAAAAGCCACCTTTGGCGTGACCGAATCCCTTGGGACCAGTTCAACGGCAAAGGCAACTTAAGCAAATCCGGCGCATCCTGAACCAAATTGGTGGTGCGAATGCAGGAGCGTTAAGGAAAATTGCATTGTCGCGTTGTGCGCGCGCTCCCCACGCGCCCCGCTCCCGCTAATCAGCGCCGCTAAGGTTTCTAAATGGTTAATAGCCCGTCTGCTCCGCTCTTCGCTTAAGTATACACACGCAACCCCCCCAGCAGCGATCAGACCTCTTCAAGATTTCTTTATGATTTCCCAAATAAAAGCTCGTACTTCAATATTCATCAACGTTATCGCATATACAGTCGCTCTTTTTAAGGAAAAAAAATATAAAAAAAACACAAAGCTGCATTATCCCGTTGTCAGCTACGGTATCCCAACCTAAACAGATGTATGTGCTCCAGAAGGGCACCTGCTGTGCCACAAGCTTGCGCCACCATCTCATAAAAAGCGCTCTATTCTCCGGCTCCGTTCCCAGTGCGCCCCGCACGGGACGCGGTGACCTTGGCGAGCCGGAGGCGCCCGGCGGGCTTCCCCACTGAACGGCGGGCCACACAGCTGCTAGCAACAGTCACTTGGATTTTTCTTCAGTTTTGGTGGATTTCGGGGAGGGGAGGCGAAAAGAGGAAAAAAAAAAAAAAGGGAGAGGAAAAAAAAAAAAAAAAAGCAAAACCCGCTGTTATCGAGAATATGGTGGGTTATTTGTTTTCAGCGTGAGAATCCATCTTTGAAAAAAATAGATGCCTCAAAGCCAAGGGTGGGAGCCTGCTCCACATCGATCGGTGTGCGTGAGCTGGGCACCCGGGCACCTTATCTTAAAGCTGTAGCAGTCGATTCTGAAAACATGCCCTCTGCATTTACATGAGCTGTTTCGTGATTTTGGGTTTAAAAATCGAGGCGAAAAATAAAAGAAATAACAATTAAAAAAGCCAACGCATTCTCTTAAACAACCAGCAGCTATGCTCGGAATTTAAAATTAAAACACATCTCCGCTCTGCACTTGGGCGATAGGTCCCAGAGCATATTTCCAAAAAAGAAACAAGCCAAACAGGAGCAACATTCTCCTGTTTAACATAGCTACATAATTTAATAATACTAAAAAGCTCATTAACACAGAGTGTGAAATCCCTGAAGGAGTTAAAGCTCCCAGCATGCAGATTTTATCTACACTGGACCTGGTATCGTTACACAAGGTTCTTGAAGTCAGGTTTTTGCCCAAGGTTTGTGTACATGTTTCAAGTGCTAACGGAGTCCTCAGTGTGTCTAAATGAAAGTACTCTTGCTCCCTAAAATAATTATAGAAGAGTCTTGCTTGAATTCTAGAAAAATATTTTGCAGTTTCACATAAGTCACACTGGATTAAAAAGAAATCATGCCAGTAAGAGAGGCCTTTCTAGTCAAAACTTTTTTACCCTAATTATTACTGAATTTCAAGCTTCATGTACCGCAAAAGTCTGGGAAAGTTTGTGCTTTTTGGGAAACATTAATTATTTAGGCTTTTAGTTTCTTTTAATGGAAGAGAAGAAATGGCAGAGGATGCGTGTTGGAAGGCGGCAAAGGACAGATCCTACTTCTTCCACTTATTACAGAATACACATATACCTTACCGATTTATGCAAGGTAATTAAGTTTTATTTAGTAAGCTCTTCCTTTACAAAATTTATATTATAAACATCAAGTCTTTGAATTTAGAAGGGGGAAGAGCTACAAGGAGATGTTCGCAGTTTGGGCACTAGGCCAACTAACCATGCATTATGTGGCAATGAAACAATGGAGCTGTGAAGGGAAATATTTTTATAAAAGGCAAATTCACAGAGGAAAAAAGCACCATCAGTTAAAGCAAAGTAAGTGCTATAGATTCAGACAGATGAGCAATAAGATCTTCTCCAAGGGAAGCTGGGGCAACACTGAAGAGAGACATTCATTAGATAATAGCACGTGCCCCACTACCACACCAGGTCATATTCACTGCAGCTTAGATGTTTCCTCGTTTTCCCTCCCAAAGATGGAATTTTCTCATGCTCTTCTTCGGTCATGCCTGGAGATACTGGCCGGGAAGGAGTGTCTGCTTGACCCCGTACAGCTACTCTTGCTGTCACGCACTGTTCTTACTGTGTAACACAAGCAGCCTAATCTAACAACTTACTGGAGGGAGCTGTCTCATTTAGACACATTCAATCACCCTAAAGTCAGAGGTGCTTTGGTACAACCTGTTAAAAAGAGAGTTAATCTAAGATAGACCTAAACCGAAATACTGCTGTAGTTAGCACCAGGGTAGTTGTATGTCTAAATAACAAGACCTGTATTATCAGATTATCATCTGTGGATTGCAGAAGATATTTTCAAAAGCCAAATACTTCTAGTACAATCAGCGCTAGCAAATACCTTTGCAAAGTCCCTAATATAGACAGGACCTTCTACTATACATTTTTGGTTTTACATCACAAGCTAAGTTTAGGCTTTTCAAATTTGGAACAATTTAGACTTGTTCTCAAGAACAAGTATGTCTTTGAAAATCTTTTTATAGACCCTAAAGGAGGGGAAGGAAATTAGTTAGCTCACCGCCTCTTTTAAAACTGTAGCTGCTGCAAAAAATATTTGACACCACTGTATGAAGATTCATTTATGTCCACAATTCCAGAAATATTCCAACGCCCATATGGTCTTGTACAGTAGGATGACTTTACTGGCACTCTTTTGTCATGTCTGAATTTCTTAGGGCTAGAGAAGACACCAGTAAGTTACACGTCTCATGCCAGCGAGTGAGCTCAGGCTCCCTCCAAAAGCATACGCAGAGCCCATCACTTTTCCAGGTGTTCTGCCTTGTTCAACATTTAGGCACGTTTTCAAACACGTCACCAGAAATTTTGTTTCCAATTCCTCAGATCGTAAATCAGATGTCTTCAATATTGCTATTCCACTCAAAACAGCCCTGGCCTGCACTATCCACAAATAGCGACTCTGGCAAAAATTAGTGTTTTCTGCCTCCTAAGCCTGTAAATACATATATATTTCATGAGGATATAGGGATGACCAATCTCTGCAAATCATGCTCATCTCCAGTTCAGTCTAACTTTGGGCATCAGTGGTGCATCACTGCAAAGCAATGGGGCATATCCAAATTATTTTGCTTAAAGTATACTTTTGAGATTTAACTGTAAGCACTGTGTACTTGCAGATAAAAGGACTGTAATGAATGAGTCAAGGGAAAATGAGGCAGTGACCAAAACATCAGAGCAGAACCACATGTTACCCTAGATGACTTGTTGCCTCGATGATAACACAGAATCACAGAATGCTGAAGGTTGGAAGGGACCTCTAGGGATCATCTAGTCCAACCCCTGCACACGCAGGGTCACCTAGAGCACGTGGCACAGGACTGCGTCCAAGCGGGTTTGAAGATCTCCAGAGAAGGAGACTCCACAACCTCTCTGGGCAGCCTGTTCCAGGGCTCTGGCACCCTCACTGTTAAGAAATGTTTCCTTAAGTTCCTGTGGAACTTTTGGTGTTTCAGTACACGCATGGTGGATGCATTCTTTTTTTCATTTCATTGCCGCTTGATATATTTTAATTGGCATGACTATTTTCTGTCATACTTTACCTCCTAATCAACTCACAGTAACTACTTCAACAGCAAACCAAGAACTACAAGAAATTCTGTGAAACACACAAGATGTTCTTTGGCCATATTGTAACTTCATTTATCCTGCTCTCAACAACAGTATAGCTGAATGGTCTTTTAAAAGGGTATACTTAATCTACAAATCTTGATTTAGAAAGATCTTCCACATTTTTGATAGTTTTAAAGTATGAGCAGTGCAAACATTACATCACTTCCCCTTTATCTTCTCAATCATTCCCTCATGAATAAATTTGCTAAAGCTGTTTTTAAATCACCAACACATTGGAACTGAAGGTGCAAAAATTACACTTATAGTTGCAGTGAAAGTCAAGAGCTCAGCACACTCCTCTCCCCAGCCAACCCGCCTGAGAAAGTCAAAGCAGTGTGCAGATAGAAATGGATCTTTCAAATATTTGCAAATGCCTGTTTGTGGCAGGCTCTGGTACAGAATTTACTGTACATATGCTTTGTTTAAGGATGCAGGATTGATCCAAGGACCTTGTTGAACGCTAAGAATTGACTTCACAGAAATTCACAGGCTGACTTGCTATTTACTTCAGGCATCAATTTACGTTCCTGGAATCCTGTGTCTCTTCCCTCCCTCCTCCCTCAAAGCCAATTGTCGACTACGCAGGGAGCTCGGGCTTTTAACTCCGAACCACATATGGGTCCGATGCCTGAAGGAAACCGTATAAACGCCCATCTGTCTGGTTAACAGTTCTGTAAACAGGCATGGCCCAGCTCGAAGATTTTCACCTGTTCTTTACTAGAAGGTTAAATTAATATTCTCTTCCCATTCGTGAGTTTTGGCCATATAATGAAGCGAAAGTCACTGTTGATGATTGAAGAAGTCATTCCTCAGATATTCTGAGCAAATGGCATTCATCTGTGTGCTAGCGTGGTTCAAAGGAAACATTTATGCATCCTGGATTAATTTAGTAAATGAAATTTATGCAGCTTGTTGCTGATGACATGAAAAATTTAGAGCCTTGCTAACGTGCTCATTTGGCCTCCATACAAGAACAGACTGTATTTCAATTATCTTAGTCTAAAAACAAAGAGGAGAGGAACAAAGCTTTCTACAAAGACAGTATCCTTATGACTAAACCAGCACTAAAAGGTAGAATCTCTGAATATACCTGGAGTGTTTGAAGTACAACTAAGAAATGACTGCAGCACTAGCCTGTTTGAAGAGTAACGTATTTGAACC